TATCTACCCTTACATCTGGGCCCATGTCTAGATGGAACTCTGTCACTCCACATCTTCTATCTGCCGATCTTTATGAATACGATTACACACCAATGAATATAGGTAGTCCTTGACTTACAACTCATATTTATGATGGTTGCAGTGTCCTGTGGTCAAGTGAGCTCCCTTTAAGACCATCTGAGAAACAAACTTGAACATGTTATACCTTCTCTTCTACAAAGTCACCAGGGAAGCGAGATTTATTTAATGTTGTGGCCCGCCAGCGGCCAGCAGAGCTGGCAGCATTCAGACAGTGAGGAGGTTGGGGAGAAACATGGGCCAGTTCTGGAGCCTAGTGATGGCTCTGGATCAGAGGCAGAGTGAGGGCCAGAGCCGTATGCCAGTTATCAGCTGCCTTTAGAGTCAGACATCAATGGGGCAGAAGAACAGCTGGAGCCTGTTCCCAGTGTGCGCATGTGCAGAGTTGCCAGACAAAGAGAACAGCAAAAGAACAGAGGTTGACTTGGGAGTAAGGCCACAGGTGGACGATGAATGGCCTCTCCCAGAGGAAATAAAAGAGGAGCAAAAGGGGAGTGGAGTTTGTACGAGACAATTACTTCGCTTAATTGGCTTGTGACTCTCTGAGACTCCTTGCCAAGTTCTTCAGATATCAGCCTGGAAGCTCTCCAAGCCAGATAAGGTCTGTGACTGTAAATCCTCCCTTGAAAGACTTTGCTGGATGTGAATGAGCAGAATTCACAGTCAATTAATAAAAGGGGGTTTCGTCAGAACAAGGAGTTTGCTTCATGCTCTTAGGAAGCTTCAGTCAGAACACAAGCCCCTCTACCCTTTAAAGAAGAAATAAATGAGACCCCAGTAATTAAAACAACCACCACCACCACAACTCTTCTAATATAGAATGGGATTAAAATATACCCCAGGGGCAGGTAAGCATCGTTCTTGGACTCTTAAAAGTTACAACCTTTGAAAAGCAAGGTTGATTATCGAAAATCATAAGAGATCAATTTTCCTGGTGATTCCTGATTATGAAATTATTACATCTGGGTTGATATAATAAAGGAACACCATTAGATACATCAATTGAGCTATCTGATTTTCTACATAATGAACAATTATCGGCTGGCTTTCATGCCTCAGGTGGGACTGGAACTCACTGATTCCCGGTGATTGGCTCAAAGTCACTCAGCTGGCTTTCCTGCTTAAGGTGGGACTAGAACTCACTGAATCCTGGTGAGTGGCCTAAAATCATTCACTCAGCTTTCATGCCTAAGGTGGGACTAGAATTCAGAGTCTCCTGGGGATTGGTCCAAAGTCACCCACCCGGCTTTCTGCTTATGATGGAACTAGAACTCACAATCTCTAGCCTTGTGGCTTAACCACAAGACCATACTGGCTGAAATTGAGAGTAATGGCAAATTGCAAAGTTTAATTAGTCACATGAACATAGCAGATAAGCCTATTTCTGGTTATCTGCCCTCTAATATGTAATTTGCTTGCAATTACTAGAAGTTATAATTAGATAAATAATTATAACTGAATGAATATGAAAGGAGCAAAATAAAACAAATTTGTCTGGATGCAGATTATTTTGCATTAATATTCGCAGATACAATTAACCCCATTATAAAGTTAGAAAAAGCATAAAGTATCAATAATTTGCAGGAATTAAAACACAGATGGAGATAACAGCGATAAATCAGGACAATGAAATTCAGTGTATTTAGAAAGATTTATGATATTCATTAAAAAGCAGGGGTTAGTTAAGAAGGTTCCAAATAAAAATAAAGTTGTTTAAAAATGTGAATAGAACCTATTTTTAAGTGGGATGTAGTTTATGGAGTTAAAATATAATAAAAAAATGCTATGCTTTATTTTTTAATTTACCAGCAGAGATAGATCCTAATACTGTTTCTAAATATCAACAAATGAGAATAAGAATAATATTAAATAGAATAAAAAAGGGTAATATTACAAAATAAAAGAATGGATTCTTATATCGTAGCCTGTATTAGTCTAGAAACAAACATATACGGGAAGTCCTCGACTTACGACCACAACGGAGTCCCAAATTTCTGTTGCTAAGTGAGACATTTGTAAAATGAATTTCCCCCCATTTTACGACCTTTCTTGCCACGGTTGTTAAGTGAATCCTTGCAGTTGCATGTGCGTGCACTGGAGTACCGGAAACACAAAGACCAGCTGACTAGCACACATGCTTGTTTTTTGGCCATTTTTGGCCATTTTTCAGGTTGTTTTCAGGCCATTTTCTGGCAGTTTTTGAGCATTTTTCAGACCATTTTGGGGCTGTTTTGGGGCCAAAAATGCCCCCAAAACAGCCTGAGAATGGCCTGAACACAGTCCTGAAAAGGCCCTTGAAATTACCCGAAAAATGGCCTGGTTTCTGGCCATTTTCAGGTGCTCCATCACCCACGAAGACCAGCTGGCCATGAAGACCAAGTGCACCAGTGGTGGGTTGCAAATATTTTTACTACCAGTTCAGGCGCGCTCCCGCGCATATGCAGGAGCATCTGGGCAGGTGGGCGGGGCGTCCTGCCGCTGCTATTACCGGTTTGGCCAAACCGGGAGCAACCCACCTCTGATGTGCATGCTGGAAACCAGAAAAGCAGCTGGTGACGATGCGCATGCCCAAAGCGAGGGCTCTGTGTGTCACCTCTGGCACATGTGCCACAGGTTTGCCATCACAGCTCTTGTCTTTTACTTCTAGTCTAAGTCACGAAGGGGGAAAATATCTGGGAAAAAGACAAGGACATGGGATTGGTAGTATGCAGTCATGGACAAGAAACTACCAGTGCTTAAGTCAACTTGAAGATAAGCCAACCTTTCTTTTTATTAATAATGGTTTATTATCCATGGCACTTAAGGGCAGGACAAGAAGC